TACAAAAAGAAATTGTTTGTTATTGTTTTTGTTATATATTGAGTTGTACTATATTGCTTATAGAATGTGATATTCTCATAAATGCCAGTATAGTTTGGTTTATAATAGTGTCATAAGCTAAATGAATTTTTATTTTTAATAATACAAAGTAAATGTTCTCCGGCATTTACCTCACTGACTTTGATGTTTTGTCTTCCGGGTTTAAAAAAAGTAAGGAAAGTTTGTTTTTGTTGATACTCAGCTTTAATAATTTGAGCAATGTTTTAATTTGTCTTGTTTCTTTTAAGTGATATTGTGTAGCATGTGTCATGAATTAATGCATGGTGTCTAACTTATTTTACTACTTTGTTTTTGTTAGTTACGGAGTTACAAAAAGAAATTGTTTGTTATTGTTTTTGTTAGTTTATTTTACTACTTAGTTTTTGTTTGTTAGTTTAAATATTTATTCTATTATCCACATCATGTGGTACAATATTAGATGTAAAAATAAATTTGAGTGTAAGAAAAAATGCCAACCATCTTCTCTCCATCAATGTTGAAATTATATGGCAAACCTGCAAGTAGAAAATTATAGTCCAATTAAAAACATTCTAATTAGCTTCAATTACTTTTTCTATCCATACTTAAGGATCGTAAATTATATTGAATACATATTTAAATAAAACCATTTCCCCATTTTGATAATTAATATCATATCATGTAGTCTTATTAGCCTCAACTGATAATTATAATACTGTTTCAATAATGTATTTTGTAAACATATTTGTTTTCAATAAAATTATCATTTTGAAATCAAAGAAAAACATGATTTTTATAAGTTTCGTGAAAGTTAAGTACTAGTAGAAACACCCGCGATGGAGGTAGATAAGGAAGCTTGTACATTATGTATAAGTGACCCTTTTATGATATTAATTGAAGCTATATACACTATGAGAGTAGATAAGGGAGCTTGTACATTATATATAGCTCAAATATGAGCCTATATATGTTTGAAAACGAATAAAACATATATGTTTGATCTTCAGTCATTAATGTTTCCTGCCCAATCATCATCTGTAAATACTTCTAGTTTCCTGCTCTCATTTTTTCAAACCAAATACCTTTTCCCGGACTTCCCTTTAGGTAATGTAATATTCTGTACACAGGATATTGTACTTTCATGTGGGGTAACCTTGTCACATGGAGAAGCAAGAAACAAGATGTTGTATCACGCTATATCAGAATACAGTAGCCATGGCTTCAGGTGTTTGTGAACTCATTTGGATAAGAAGAATCTTGAAGGAAATTAAAGTGGAAATTGAGCAACCGATGATGTTGTTCTGTGACAATAAATCTGCTATAAATATAGCAAACAATCCTGTTCAACATGACCGTACGAAGCACATAGAGATTGACAGAAATTTCATTAAAGAAAAGCTTGAAAGTGGATAAATTTGCATGCCTTATGTCTCTACTCAAGAGCAGTTGGCATATGTGCTTACAAAGGGTTTATTCAAATCAGCATTTAAAGAACTTATCAGCAAGCTGGGCATGATTGATATCTTTGCACCAGCTTGAGGGAGAGTGTCGAATAACTATAGAATAGGTCAATTAGTTACACGTTGTTACTATAGATTAGGATTGAGTTGTAATTAATTATTGTAAATCTTATCCCTTCTTTGTAGGATCGGTGGTTGTATTGTATTATAAATATAACACTCAATGAAAAGAGTATTGAGATCGGCTAATCATTTTAATCTTTACTTACTTTCATGAGAGGAGAAATCAAGGGGGCAGGTGATAAGTTTGCAATGGAGGTAAAATTAACACATCTTGTTTAGTTGGTCTGCTTTAAAATTACATTTACTTATTTATCTTTTTGAGTATTAATGTCTATGAAAGCCAATTTTTTTCTTTGCAACAATGACCTTTCAGGAGGACTAAAAATGATGATTATGATGTTGAAAGTGCTATATTTCACGGACTAAAAAAAGGTATGTTGTATGTGTGAAGCGATAAGTGATTAAGGTTATTTGATGGCATAAACTGAATAAATAAGTAAAACTTTTAATGGTTAATCTGGATTGGAAAGTTTTGGGTTCTTTGAAATGAATGTGTTGGTGGATCGGAGGCCGGGTTTAGTCTATTTTTTGAAAAATAAATATGTATAAATTATTTTCTACAAATGAGTGAAACGAGATGGTGTGACTTGATTGTATGAATCTTTGTTATCCATAAACAACATTGAGTTGTACTATATTGCTTATAGAATGTGATATTCTCATAAATGCCAGTATAGTTTGGTTTATAATAGTGTCATAAGCTAAATGAATTTTTATTTTTAATAATACATAGTAAATGTTCTCCGGCATTTACCTCACTGACTTTGATGGTTTGTCTTCCGGGTTTAAAAAAAGTAAGGAAAGTTTGTTTTTGTTGATACTCAGCTTTAATAATTTGAGCAATGTTTTAATTTGTCTTGTTTCTTTTAAGTGATATTGTGTAGCATGTGTCGTGAATTAATGCATGGTGTCTAACTTATTTTACTACTTTATTTTTGTTAGTTACGGACTTACAAAAAGAAATTGTTTGTTATTGTTTTTGTTAGTTTATTTTACTACTTAGTTTGTGTTTGTTAGTTTAAATATTTATTCTATTATCTACATCATGTGGTACAATATTAGATGTAAAAATAAATTTGAGTGTAAGAAAAAATGTCAACCATCTTCTCTCCATCAAAGTTCTCTAAACAAATAATTCAGTGAACTAAGATTTTGCTTTTCATTTTCTTTCTTTAAAAATAATACTCACTTTCTTAGGTAAAGGATGATATTACATTTTCTAAAAATTAATTTAAGTAGAAAGCAAATCACTTCCTTCATGAGAGCTTATGCTTTTTAACCACATTTGGAATATTTGATTGATTAATATTTCCTATATCAATTCCATTGGGCATCTACTCGATTGTGCAACACGCGTATAAAAACTAGTCTTCACTCAAAAAATGGTCTCACAGTTTCCACAAATTAAAGAAAGAGGTCGACTTTGAACTACTTAAAGCCGAAAATCTAATGCATCCTGATTTTAGGATCTCTATCCCTAGATTCAAGATGGTAAGGTGGATTCAACCTAAATGTGGATGCTTCATTCTTACCGGGACAAGCTAGAGGAGGAGCGATTATGCGAAACGAAGCAGGCGGACTGATATTTGATTTGGCCTTCCACATCTCAGCGGAATTCATTCTTGAAGCAGAGTTTAAAGCTCCCAGTTTTGCTACACTCAAAGCCACTGAATTGGATTAAGTTGATTTTCAGGGGGTCAAATCAGATTCCTCAGGTGTTATTCTGATGCTTAACGACGTGAATTATTCAGGGAGATGGAAAGACTTGGCTGAGGAGATGCGTGAGGTTTCCATAATTGTTATGGTCTTTGTTGGACATACCTTAGGCAATAGCCCTGGGCTGCTCAATCCCAAGAGATTTATTTTAACAATATGTGTAATTTGCCTTTAACTGTTAAAAACCCCATTATTGCTAATTCTATTGGTCTTCCTTTTTACGGATATGTTTAAATTGGGCAAAGTTTCATCCCCCCAATTTCCTTTTCGCTTTTGTTCTCGTTAGTTTATTTTCATGTATTTAGAAAGGGAATACCCTTTCAGGAGAAGTTTTAGTCCAGTCCCTCTTCACATGTATTATTTGTTCTTTTTAATAACATTCGACAAATGTTTTCTGGCATTTGCCTCACCGACTTAATTGGTTTACCACTAGGTTAAAAAAAAGCGAGTCAGCTAATTGTAAGTTTGTAACTGGTCGAGTAATTGTAATTGATCATTAGGTAATCATCCTGTATTTTGAAACCGACGTTTGAAGACGAGTTTTAGAACTCAGTAAGATTTTTCTAGCGAAATAGAATACACTTTAGAACATTCAGAAAGATATTGAGGAATAGTGTAAAATAGGGGTGGGCAAAAATATCGAACCGGCATGGTACCGAATCAGATCGATATGATATCGAACCGACAAATGAGATTTGAAGCGGATCTCAAAATTTTTTGTCCCGAACCGGATCGTACCGGTTCCAAACAATGCCATGATGGATTATCATAAAATGAGAACCGGTCCGAAGTATGATTTAATTATTTAAATTTGTTCTACTATAGTTTATCTGAATGTTTTTAATTACCTCATTCATCATCCCAAATTGATTTGCAAAGTCAACATGTTTTGGTCAATGTTAATGTTAAGTCCTCCCTAATGATAATTAATAGAATTTCTATTAATTACTCCTTCCGTCCTGCAAAGAAGTTCCCGATTTGACCTAGACACATATTAAGGAAATAAATTTACTAGGTGGTAAATTATACTCCCTCTGTTTTGAACAGAGGGAGTATAATTTAAATATTTGGAAACCACATTAAAATCTGTTTAAAGTTGCCAAATCCAAATTAGAATATACAAAGTACTTTTTTTGGAAGGCCAAATTAGAAAATACCTAAAAGTGATATCATAATTAAGTAAATAAAAAGAAACTGTTTGACCAAAAAAAGTTTGATTTTGCAAATCAATTTTGGACGGAGGTAGTATGAAATATGAAAATTGATAAATTGTGTGAATTTTTGAAGGATGACTAAACTTTATTTTTTCCTTAAACACTTAGAAAAAGTGGCATCGTTTGTAATCGGTATAACATGGTACTGTCCCATTTAAAATATTACACCTTTTCACATTTGTTTTAAATTAATTTTATTAAGTCGACCCTTTAATTATGATACATATATGTCATATTAAAGTAGGGGCTTAGCTAAAGTCCAATCTAAGCCCTAGCCCACCTTACATTTAAATTCTAATTAAGTTATTAAGATAAAAAATGGTGTACAAAAGAAAATCAAAAAACAATGTATCTGTTCAACCCAATGTATCGAAAATAGACAATCATAAGGAAACTGATGGAGCACTAAATACGCGTACCTTAAAGCAATACCGTAAGAAATGCAATATGCCGTGATTAAAGAATTTAAAGCAAGATCGAAGCATGTCTGATACTCTAATGCATAAGCAGAAATTTAAAGAAGTAACATATTGAGGAGTACATCTATACAAGAAGTATAACTTAATGCATAGTGTACTTAAATACAAAGTATATGCGAAAGTAGATTGATTTCTTTAGGGTTTTGGTTTTCCTAAGTTTACACAAGTTATCTGAGAACAGACACTTCTGATTTCTTTAAGAAACACCAAACGTACGCTAAAAGAAATCGGTAAAAGTAAAAAGCACAGTGAATATACAGAGAGTACTGTTCAGGGCGAGATTGGAAAAGTGCAGCGCCGCTTATCTCCCGATCGAGACCGTAAGCACCCAAATGGAAACCCCGAGGCAACATTTATTCTTATTTATGCGAAAGACAGAGCACTATCCGGTGTTTAGCGATGTTCAATTAAGATACTGGCCGAAGAAATTGCGAACTCGAGTCCACAAACTTTGGTTCCTCGTTTCCCTGTGATGATCGAAGCCATGATGGCGCATCCGCATGTGCAGTCCGAGTTTCTCTGCATCCTCGGCGCGGTGATGGTGCTGATGCGCGTGCTGGTGAAGGAACGGCATCAACTCCGGCGGAACGCGTCGATCGTTACTCTTGCTGGCAGGGAGGATCATGTCGTTGCCGAAGGGGATCTCGGCGCCCGATCTCAAAATCGGCCTCGGTTTTTGGCCGTTGCGGAACTGATGGCGGCATCCAACGAGTGGGAGGACAGATCTGAGCCAGAAGCGGCGGTTGATCGGACGGATTTTTTGCAGATCTAGCGTCGTGAACTTGACGGCGCTGGCTTTCTTCTCTGAATCCGTGGTATCTTCCTTTCTGTTTGATGAGTCTCTGGGGAGGCGAAGGGAATCATCAGAGTGCGCATCGGATTGATCGAGTTTGTGAACTGTGACGTCATTCACCGGTTTGGTTAATAGAGAACGGGCAACAGAGAGGGTGAAGAGCAAAAAGAGAACCGCAACGGAAAGCTTCGACATTGTTACTGTAATTCGGAATGGGGACGCTGTAATTTTAAATTACCCAAATGTGTAGTATTTTGTTTGTACGGGTGTGTATATATAGATAGATATATATATATATATTTTAATATAGACGGACCTATATTTTAATACTCCGTCTGTATTAGATTCGAATTAGGAAACGAAAATATGTCCAACTCCGTATTACTCCGTAGATAGGAATTGGAATTAACGACAGGTGGCAGTTTTTCGGCTTATCAGATTTATCAGTCAACTTTTTCATCAAATACGTAATTTTTACTTTTGTGCGTTGAATTGAGTAATAAGCAGAAAAAGTAAGGTTGACGTTACTTTACTGGCTGTATTGACTGAAGTTACTGTAGATGATCATTTTAGCCAGAATTTCATAAATTTCAGTCAATACAGTCACTTCAGCCATAATTTAATAAATTTCAGTAGGATCAGCCAAATCAGCCGATTTTCATGCTACCAAACGGGCTCTTAAATATTTACATTTAAAGCTATGTTGTAAAACGGTATTCATTGATCGCTAGGAAACCAATCAACATTTATAATTCATAATAATAAACTGATAATGCCTAAGTACTCCGTAAGTAGTAACCATATAAAACACTTTTATAATATTTCAAAGTACAATTTTGGTCTTATTTGTATTGTTCATTATTATAATATAATTTCAAATACTCTCTCCGTCCCGAAAAGGTTTGCCAAATTGATTTTTCTTAGTCAATGACAATCAACTTTGACCAAAGATATATTTTAATACGAAATTATTTAGAATATGAAAATTATATCAAAATATTCCTTATTCAAAATATTTTCATAAAAGTATAAAATGTATAAATTATATACAAATATAATAACTAAAATCATTGCTCAAAGTTTATCATCAATGACCAAGAAATCGATTTGGCAAACATTTTCGGAATTGAGGCAGTATGTGTTATTTGTAATGTACTACGCACATTATAATATAACTTGAAATACTTTCCTGTTAAATAAATACTTCGTATATAAATATAATACACAGTTTTTCTATTTAGGGTATTGAAGTAGCAATTTTATTGATTTAAGAAATGCTTAAAATTCAAAAATAAAATTAAAGAACCCTCCTAAATTCGGGTCTTTCGGGACCGTCTAGGTTTTCTAATCCTAGTCCGAAATGAATTTTTTCGGGTTGATTGGGTTTTTCGATTTTTTTTTCTATTTTCGTGTTTTTAACTACCTCAACCGGTTTTAGGTCCAGGTCCCAGTTTGTGGGTCGAGCTGACCGGTCCAGACTGATTTTTTAAATATAGCTCTAAAGTAAACATGTTAAGGACATACAATGTATTTAGTTAGACTTCTTTCAATTTAAGATTAAAGTAAAGTTAAACATAAAATGTCACATCAAACCAGATATTGGCAATGGTATAACACACATAAGACAAATTGTTGGGATATTGGTCCAGAAGCCCAATACCCGGATCAAACAGGCTCAGGATACCCGGCCCAAACAATGAGTCCATTACCCTATGATGAGTAGATCCAGTGAAGAATCCATACCGAACGGGGTTCGGTCCAAGTAAAGGTCGGCCGAGAAAGAAGATATACCGAACGGAGTTCGGACCATATATCATACTTGGGTCAATTTGGCAGCGTCTTCAGCATGGTCCAAACATTCCGTTCGAGCAACGGAGAACCAGCAAGTGGCCAGGTGCAATTAATTCCAGATTGTGACATCAGCAAGTGGAAACATGGGTGATCAAGTCGGTGGAACAACGGCCAATCAGCATAGAGCAGCCCATGCTCTCCATTAGTATAAATAGAAGGTTTAATATCATTGTAAGGGTGAGCATTTCAATACTCAAGCTCTAGAATAACATTATTACTCTTGTTTCCTTATTAAAGCACTGTTCCGACCTACCGATCGGGAAGTTTCCTTGTAATCAGACAGGTTAATTAATACAAGTGGGCTTTTGGGTATTAGTGGATTCATATTTTATATTTTGTTATACACCTTGATTCTGATCCATTCCTGATATATCCAAAGTTCGTGTTGGGCTTTCGGATCTACGAGACTTACCTTCAACACAAAAGACTACCAGATCAGACCAAACTAGTTTAAACCAGATCAGATCAGGCTAGTTTAAACCAGAGCTGATCATTGTTAAACACACAAGACCAAATTAGAAAATTATAGTCCAATTAAAAACATTCTAATTAGCTTCAATTACTTTTTCTATCCATACTTAAGGATCGTAAATTATATTGAATACATATTTAAATAAAACCATTTCCCCATTTTGATAATTAATATCATATCATGTAGTCTTATTAGCCTCAACTAATAATTATAATACTGTTTCAATAATGTATTTTGTAAACATATTTGTTTTCAATAAAATTATCATTTTGAAATCAAAGAAAAACATGATTTTTATAAGTTTCGTGAAAGTTAAGTACTAGTAGAAACACCCGCGATGGAGGTAGATAAGGAAGCTTTACATTATGTATAAGTGACCCTTTTATGATATTAATTGAAGCTATTATTAGGATATATTTATATACTTTATAATTCTTGATTTATTTCCATTCGTAGCCTAGCTTATATTTGGCATGTGTATCTTAATTAAGGCTCAACTTATTCTTAGGAGCCATCTTAGGAAACCAGCCGTGTATATATCTCAGAATTAACACATGAATAGAGCCATTCTTGACCTAATCACATATTGCTTTATGGTATCAGAGCGGCGATTCTTCGCTCCTTCTTATCGGCGCTAATCATGACTGGTGGAACAACTCCTTCCCAGAGTCTGATTTATGCTCTCAGTCCCAGTGATAATCCAGGGACGGTTATCACTCATGTTGTTCTCAAAGGCTACAACTATGAAGAATGGGCGAGGGGATTTCGAGTCTCTCTTCGTGCCAAGCGAAAACACGTATTCATAGATGGCAGTCTCAAGCAACCGGCTGACAGCTCTTCCGAAATTGATGACTGGTGGACGAACAATTCCATGATAGTGGCATGGATGTTCAACACCATCGAACCTTCACTGCGGGCTTCCATCTCTTATCGCGACGTTGCTTTTGATTTATGGAGAGATATCAAAGAAAGATTTTCTGTTGGTAACCGAGTAAAGATTTATCAATTAAAGTCTGAACTCTCCGATTGCAAACAGAAAAGTGGTGAGACAATTATGAGTTATTACGGGCGCCTCAAGAAACTGTGGGATGATCTGAATGATTTTGATCCTCTTCCGTCATGTGATTGCTCAGGCTGCAAATGTAACATAACGACAAAATTTCGCAAGCGACGTGATGAAGACCAAGTTCGGGAATTTTTAATGGGGCTTGAATCATTCTATGCAAACACCCGGTCAAACCTGTTGGGAATTGAACCCCTGCCATCGCTAAATATAGTGCATTCCAGGTTAATTCAAGAGGAAGAAGTGCGGATGATCACTGGCAATCAGGAGGAAGGAACAAATCCCATGAGCTCTGCCGTCCGGGGAAATACATTTACCGGCCTGAATTCAGGGGGGCTGCTCGGGTCTCTAATAACTCTATTGTTTGTACCTTTTGTTCTAAAACAGGACATACCGAGGAGAAGTGTTTTGTCAAACACGGGTACCCTGAAGGCTGGCTAGAACGTAGACGTGGAATGAACAAGGGACGTAGACAGCCTGGAAGCAGTGGCGGTTCAGGAGGATTCCAGAGCTCCTCTACGAATCAGCAACCCAAGGCCAACGTTGCTCATACCGGAGAGGTGGTCAAAGAACTTGGTGATATCCGCCTCAATGGTAAGACAGAAAACTTATGGATCATTGACACGGGTGCTTCACATCACGTGTGTGGGAATTCTAAATTATTTGATGTTCTTGTTGACATGATGCCCACGGAAATTGGACTGCCCGACGGGTCATTTATCAAGGCTACTAAAATTGGTAGCATTAAGATAAATGAGAAACTTACGATAAATAATGTTCTGTTTGTGCCGGAATTCACCTGCAATCTTTTATCTGTATCCACTTTTCTCAAAGATAATAGATTAAGTATTCAATTCACTCATACTAATTGTGTTATACAGGACCATGTCTCGAGGACCAGGATTGGTGTGGGTGAACAGTATGACGGGCTCTTCTATTTGGCGATGGGGGAGAGAGCACTCATTCACAATGCTACCCATTTGGATATTGGTGAACTTTGGCATGCACGCTTGGGACACCCGTCATTACAAGTTTTGGATTTTTTGCCTCAAGTGAGTGTTCGCTGTAGTGGTTTAATTAATAAGCCGTGTGATGTTTGTCATCGTGCTAAGCAAACTCGTTCTGTTTTTCCGTCAAGTAGTCATAGAGCATCTCATTTGTTTGAATTGATACATTGTGATGTTTGGGGACCATATAGTGCCAACCGTTCTTGTGATTCGAGATATTTTCTTACTATTGTTGATGATCATTCAAGAAGTGTCTGGGTTTATTTGATGAAGCATAAGAGTGAAGTGTCATCCTTATTAATAAATTTTTTTGCCTTAATCAAATGACAATTTAGCCAATTTGTTAAAATAGTGAGAAGTGATAACGGGACTGAGTTTATTGCCTTGCGAAAATATTTTTCTGAACAAGGTATTATTGATCAAACTTCTATGGCGAAAACTCCTCAGCAAAATGCACGTGTGGAGCGTATGCATCGTCACATTCTTAATGTGGCTCGTGCTCTACGTTTTCATGCTAATCTTCCTATTGATTTTTGGGGTGAGTGCATTTTAAGTGCTACTTATCTAATAAACCGAACTCCGTCTCAGATTTTACAAGGCAAGACTCCTTTTGAATTATTATTTGGACGTCCTCCGGATCTCAGTTCTATTCGTATTCTTGGATGCCTTTGTTATGCTAAGGAGTTGAATCCTACAGATAAATTCAGTAGTCGAAGCCACAAATGTATATTTATCGGCTATCCATTTGGAAAGAAAGGCTGGAATTTATTTGATTTAGATACTGGCAACTATTTTTCTTCTCGAGATGTGGTCTTCTATGAGACCATATTTCCATTTGCAAATGCTATTGTGCCTGACTCAGATCTGGGGCAGTGTTTAAATGGAGCCCCCACTACCTACTATGATGATGATGTTCATGAAAATAATAACACGACTTTGTCTCAAGCCTCACATACCTTACTGGAACCGCATGACAATCAGGAATCTTCGCACCAAACAGATAGTGGGGCCGTAGGTGCATCTGAGGAATCTAACACTCTTGGTTCTCAAGGTGATAATGCGTCTGGGGTGGCTGCCGAACTGAGCACTGAG